GTTGGACGTTCGCTCCTAGCCCGTTGGAATTTGTTCAACAAACGCTGCATTTCAATCACTCCGATCCCATCTGAAAGTAAGTTATTTAAGCTGAGTAAACCACCCAATTATTACTACTTACCTCGAAATCGCGGGGCATTTTAGCTGAAACTCTTGAACTCAGTGTAGAGGCTACTCAGTGTCCTGATCACGGATGTGAGAAGTTCTCAGAGCGCCGGCCCGACTGAGCCCCAAGTTGGCGCCTCATTAGTCGTCTGCTTCCCGCCCGGGCAGAACCTAGGGAAGGGGATTACTCCTAATCACAGACGTAGCTTTAGCGGAGTGGTATGCAAGTGCAAGGATAACCCCGGTATGCAAGTTCACATAAAATCTCGTGGAAATAGTGGGCGCCAAAATAGCGCCAAAATTGGATGTCATATGCGTCGACCCACTAACCCCTGTACACAATGTTCCAGCAAATTTTTTCGAGACTTTGAAGTTGTAATAATTGAAATTTGCCAAATTGCTTTGCTTACCATTGTTAGGAGGAATAATCCGATCTGGTGAACTTTGCGCCAGGCTCGAGATGTGATTTTCTGCTCCACAGGCTTTGGGGAAGTAATCGTTCGGATCCTTAAAAGTCAAAAGTTCTTGAAGGGACACCATCGAAGTGAATATACATACATCTCATATCTGAGGACGAAAATGGGCGTTTCGAGCTGGTTAGTTGCGAATGCAGCGTCTGACTGCTATAAGCGTCAAGGCGGCTGAGAAGTATGTACAGGATAAGAGTCGAACGGGACAATCTAGCAGTCGTCACTCAAATTCGTACTTGGTAATGCCTTTTTGGCGCCGTTCAGCGACGTGGGGAGGGGGCATTTTGCACTTTGCTACTTCCCATCGACGTGTCCACCTAGACAGCCTCTTCTCGAGTTGACAGGTTTTACCATGATGGCTTGACGAGCTTGCTCCAGCTTCACAAGAGTTCACAGGTTTCACCAGAGTGAGACTTGTAAACCAGAACTAGTGAAGCAAGGTGAGCAACGAAAATGCAAAATGCCCCCCCCCCGTTGCGCGAACTGCGCCCGCGCCGTTTTTTGTCCTCCATATGCAGTCGTGCGTGCTTCAAGCAAACAACAAAAATATTGATGATGGGTTGGCATGTGGAATACTCTTAGTAGCGCCTTCAAGTTTGGCAGACCCCCCTTTCCAGACAGCTGAAGGAGAAAAAGAAAACATTAACTAAAAAACACTAGAAAGAATGACGCACGAAGGCTAGGGCACTATTTATTCCTTTTCTGAGATTCAGGCCAGATTTTGAATGAAATTCTTCGGAAGGTAGGTGTGACAGTAAGGGTAGTTTTACTCGTTGAACACCAATATCACACTTGGGAGCCAACGTCACCCGGCTCACAGGGCCTATCTGAAAACGTTTCAAGACACAAAAAGCCTTCTCAGAAATAACTTGACCCCCTGGACACGAATATCACATCCGTTTGGCGCGAAAACGCTAATCGTATGCTATGAGTGTAGCACCCGAGCAAGTCTGTAGCGCCGGCGCTAGGCGTTTTCGTAAAACGCCTATGTGGAAGAATTCATTGTCAGAGGGTCAAATTACTCCCAAAACAAAAATTTCTGTATAATAGGTCTACTTTTGAGAAGAAATTTCGACCAAAATCTGGTTAGGATTTTGATCACTGGAAAAGGAACTCAGGGTGAACAACGCCTATTTTAGTTCAGAACTAAAATTATGACAAAAATTTGAATACCAGTGATGGCTTCGGCTCCTCAGGTGGTGGGCTCGCATTAGTAGTTGGCGAGATATCGTCAGTTCGTACAAAAACAGCAGACTCCTTTTCAGAAATCTGCGAGGTTCTGAAATGTGAATGTCGGTGAGACAGGCCTCCAGATAACACAATTTACTGTGCAGTTTTAACTTATCAAAAGCAAGATTCAAGTGTTTTGTCCCAATTTTCTTTGACATCATCTCTCTGAGTATTGATCGCGGTATTTTTTCATATTCACTATCCTATACACATCCTTCACTCTTTTTTTTCTTTCTATATTTACGGCTGCTACACCGTTTACAGTCGTTGTCAGTGAAGTCAGTCGGGGCGTGGGTCTTGTCGCAGCACCAGCCCCTTTCGCCACTCATCGAGCACTCTAGGTCGCAACAATCGATGCAAAACGAGCTGGAGTCGCGTAAAACCCACGTCCGCTGACACGCCCCGACTGGATTCAGTGATAGCAACGGGATGCTGAGCTCAAACGCCACTGTTTGGATGTGCTTCGTCAGTTCTTCCTTACTAGGTAACTTGACGCTAGTTCTTGATGAATAAAATGGCTGTCGTTTGACTTTGAGAAGGATAAGCACTATTTAAATAGTACTCTACTAGAAGCTAATCGCCATACTGGAGCAGGTGGTACAGAGTTAAATGCAGCCGTTGATCACGCTTACAGTCCAAAACTTACATGTCGAATAAGTCTCCACCTGGGCTAGCCAAGTCTTCCTTCCCTCTCAGGTAGGCTAAATGGTACCAGAACACTCTGGGAGGATAACAAGACCGGAACTACACTTAATATCACCGCAATTGTCGGGTCGCAATCAGCGGTTCTCACATGCGGCGTTTCCATCATTGGTTGTTTCCTTCCTAAATCGATTTCTACCCGATCGCCATTGGTAGAGCAAGGGAGCCGAACGCGGACTCGAACCGCGCTGCTCACGCCGCCTCCTATAGCCCGCAGGTGGAACTGTATGTCTCCTACTGGACCTTTGAATGTGCTAAACTACTAGCCAAATTGAAGCTGCAACCCACTACACGCTGCTGTGGGTAGAGCGTCGTTTACTGTAGAGAAAATATGACAAATGAAAAATATTTTCTAGCGAAGTGAGCCAACCTTTCTCTTGCTGAATCGGGATCAGGTGGCGAAGTTATTTCAGAATGATAACGCTCCGGTTCTTCATAAAAGTCATCGCTAACCACACGTGCGTTACTCGAAAGTGTTGGTATTTCCACGAAATGGGGTGAGAACGCTGAAATTACTGGTTCGGTTGGTTGCTAACAAACGCGAGTTATCATCACTACCTATTTGTTGAACAGAATAAGTGACAGCAATACATTCGATATTGAAAAAAGTGTAAATGCCGAGGAGGGTTGAACAGCAGCAAGATTAACGCGGTCAGGAGATCCACTTTGCGGTGGCGCGGCGAGAGGACGGATTGGCGTTGAGCGCGCGACATGTACAGCGCAGACTACAGCAATGAATTGCAACGCCCTTGCAT